GAGGACCAGAGCTGGCTTTACCTATATAAAAGGGTGATGGATGTAGAAGTTAAAAGAGGAAGCTTCTCATCATCAAGGCAGAAGTCTGCAGCCTTTGACCTGAGGACCAGGGCTGGCTTTGTCTGTATAAAAGGGTGATGGATGTAGAAGTTAAAAGAGGAGGCTTCTCATCACCAAGGCAGAGGTCTGCAGCCTTTGACAGCGGAAAAGCCAAACTGTCAAAATCCAGTGCAAAAGATTCAATAAAAGAAAAGCCCGTTTACGTAACTGGAAACAGACAAGAGAACGAAGTTTGAGTCCCAGTGGCACCTTTAAGACCCAGGAAGCTTTAATTCTGGGTGTAACCTTTTGTGTGCATGCATAGGGAAGCTTATACCCAGAATAAAACTGGGTATAAAACTCAAAACTTTGTTCCCTTGTCTGTTTCCAGTTATGTAAATAGGCTTTTCTTTCTCTTGCTTCAGATCCACACGACTGCCCAACTGAAAACAGACAACTTTACTGATGATTGACATGTTGATTAATAATCTATAACGTTTCTGCACCGGCATAAAAATAAGACCTACCCCAAAAATAAGCCCTAGCAGGATTTCTATGCATTTGTGGTATAAGCCTTAGTGTGTCTTCTTGAGAAAAAATAAATATAAGACAGTGTCTTATTTTCGGGGAAACACGGTAGTAGAACCCCAGGCTCAACAAGCCAAACAAGAGTAGGTCTCGCCCATAGCCCCTAATAATTTATCTCCGTAACCTTGTGAATCATTTACTGTGTTGCCTGTACAGAAAAGCGCTCTTGAATAATCCACTTTGCATAGCTTGTGGAAAGCCAGGAAAGCAAGTGCCTTCCTGAGCTTCTCAGGCCAGGCCGTTCCCTGAGGCGGGGGCCACAACAGAGCAGGCGTGTGTGCGAGGAGTTGTTGATTTTGCCCATTTGCGGGATGACTGAAACTAGGGTCCTGCTGTGTGATTTTTGGCATCATTTAATATACCAGGTTAAGACTTACGCTTTGCCCCAGTTCTGTTTTTAGGCTTCTGATCAGTCCTACCGCATTGTGTATTGAATACCCCATCCTGTTGATTGTGGTGACTCACTCTGTATAAATCCGCCTTGAGTCCAAGTGAGAAAGGTGGACTATAAATTATGTAAATGAATAAAAATCTGTACATGTTTCACCCGTGGATACCTGGCAGCCAATGCTTCCTCTAAGCTGTGGGGGTCTTGTGAGCAAGAATTGTACTTTGTGAGCTACTGGTATTAAAGTTGTGAGTGAGCGATTTGGCTGCTGCATAACTTGGTTTGCTCTGGAGCCATCCTTCCTCTGTGAGCAGGAGGCTAAAAAACTGTGAGCTAGCTCACACTAACTCAGCTTAGAGGGAACACTGCTGGCAGCTGTTCCCCTCTTTCAGTTCCCTTTCCACAAAGCCATCAGTCCCACAAAACTTTATTTGCCTGCCGTTCCCTTCACATGTTGGCGATTCTCTCATTCCCACCTACCCTCCGGCACACAGTAATGATTCCATTTTCTTCGGTCAAGAGCCCTGTTTGACTCCAGGCTGAGCTGGATCTGGCTTGCAGACCCCTGTTTTAATGCAGCCATTTCAGAGCACCTTGTTTACTTATGTGACTTTTAGCCCACCCTCCCCACAGGTGGGCTCAGGGCTGGCCACAACACAGCAGTGAAACGTATAATGATGAGTACAGTTCAAATAAAAATCTAAAGCCCCATTTAAACTCCATGATGGCGAGATGGTGGTATGTAGGCCGTAGGACTATAACTGTGTGTGTGGCACCAGGAGGGCCACCGAGATAATAATTGGGCCTCGCCCCCATCCAATAATATGTTGGTATACTGGTCCACGTAGCTGGATGAGGGGGGCTGGTAGGGGAGGGGAGGCCAGGAATGGCGAGGCAGCCACCACCTCATCCAGAGACCTGGTGGAACAGCTCCGCTTTACAGGCCTTGTGGAACTGTCATAAGTCCCTCAGGCCCCCTGATCCCAACTGGGAGCCTGTTCCACCTAGACAGAGACAGAGCCGAGAACACTCTGGCTCTGGTCGAGGCTAGGCATGTGTCTCTCGGGCCAGGGATCTCCAGTAAACGTTGTTCAGTCAAGGGTAAAGCTCTTCGGGGAAGATACCAGCGGATATGACTTGCTTTTGAGGGGGCTTGTTCCTGTTACTGCTGGCCTTTGTATTCACTGATTTGAGCAGGTGTTTGCTTACCAAGGGGACCGTCGTCTGCTTCATGTGTTCTGCAGCTTGTGTTCTGCCAGGTGTGTTGTGACCCTTTCCACATCTTCTGCCTGGAGGAGGATGAGCAGCCGCTGCCGGAGCAGGAGGAGAGCTGGTGTTGCCGCCGCTGCAAATTCTGTCACGTCTGCGGCCGCAAAAACAAGGCATCCAAGGCAAGGGGGGGGTGTTAACTCGGTGTGAGTTCTTTGTGGGGCGGGTGGCAGTTGGGGCCAGCACCACTGAGGCCATGCACATCCAGTGATTCCAGGAGGGGGCTAATTCATTCAGATTTTCCTGGCTGTCAGGGCAGACAGCAACGCTCTGTATGAAATGAGCAAGTCAGGATCTGAGAGATGCGAAATCCATTTCTCTGCTTCAGAGGAAGAGTGAAAGGCCTTTGAAAACGCTGCGAGACATTTGGCTCTAGGTTCTGTGTGGACAGGACAGAACGTAAAGGGGGTAAACCCTCTGGAACTGGAGCGAGTCAGGATCTGAGAGATGCGAAATCCACTTCTCTGTGGGCAGGACAGAACATAAAGGGGGTAAACCCTCTGGAACTGGAGCTCTGCAAAATACATAAGCGCACAGTGAGCGTTTTTTGAGCGTAGCGCTCATCAAGCAAAGCTGTTGGCATGGCCTGGAACCGAATAGACGTGAAGGCTATTCTGAGATTATGAAGACAGACAGGAGGTTGTGATGTGGGCTTGGCATATAGAATCCGTCCTCTGGAGCCCCTCAAGTTCCTTGAAAAATCAAGTGAGCGATGCTTGCTGGAAATGTTATGGGCGGGTGGGCAGTGGAGAGGGGCTTCGCCGCCATTCACAGTGTATTATATCAGCCGTAGAAACAGTGCTTATGATAAGGCATAAACCACTGAGCTACTTCAGAACATGTGAAGAAATACATGCAAATTTGTATAATCCAGGCAGGGTATTTTTTTTTCTTGTTTCAGGAAAAATAAAGCAGCTCGGTATTTTGCAAGCCCTAATCACTATACTTACTACCAAAACTTGGTGCTGGATTTACTAGGGTGTTGGGGACCCTGACACATACTTCCAACTAGTCAGCAAGAGGCTGAGTGATCTCAAAGGGACCTTGCTGTCCCCCAGAAAGCAACTGCTTCTGTGGATGCTGTTGACGGCAGGCTCTGAACGACTTAGGTGGTTTCAGACAATGTGGTTCAGGAAAGTGAGCTCTGCAAATTGGCAATTGCCTGTAGTCTAAATGACAGGGACTTTCAGCAAGATATCAGGAACGGTGGATCTTGGAGCTGCTCGGCATCTGGATCTAGGCAGAATAGTGAAGAGAAGGACTTTTTCCACGAGGGACAGAAATGTGCAGTTTCTTCCCAGGGTCCTGAGACTCCTTTTGTTCAGCGGCTTCTACTCGCAGTGCTAAACATGGCACCCTGCTCGACTTTGTGTAGCGATCCTGTCCATGCAGAGATGCTCTGTTTTATCTTTCACCATTGTTCTCTCTGTAGATCTCCTTGGGGTTCTCTGGTGCCAGTTTATGAATAGGCACCGTGCGCTCCCACCCCTAAACATGCGTAGTAACTGCTCGCTTTTCGTGATGTCTCTCCCCTCCTCTTGCAGCAACTGCTGGAATGCGAGCGCTGCAGGAACTGCTATCACCTGGCTTGTCTGGGGCCCAACTACCCCACGAAACCTTTCCGTAAGAGGAAAGGCTGGGTAAGTCTCCGCAAAGAGCAGGCGCTCGGAGGAGGGTTGTTGGCCTAGCTCTGTGGGCTCAGCCATCCCCTTGGTCCAGCTGACGACCCACCACCCTCCCCTCCCTCTTGCCCTTCCAGATCTGCTCGGCCTGCATCCGCTGCAAGAGCTGCGGCACCGCTCCTGGGAAGAACTGGGACACCGAGTGGTCTAGCGACTACAGCTTGTGCTCCGCCTGCTCGGTGCTGTACGATAAAGGTGAGGGGCAGGAGGGAGTCTGAACTTTGACGGGGAAATTCTCGAGGATCCCACGAGGGGTTCAAACAAAGGCAGTGGACTTTAGCAGAAAAGAATCTTAAGTAGTTCAAACTAAGGAGGGATCCTTACCCAAACACTGAAAGTAAGTTCTTCAAAATTCTAATGCGTGCACCAGGCATTATGTAGTGTCATCTTTCATCAGTAAGGACAGAAAAGGGGGAAAGGGGAAAAAAACCTGAACCTAAAACCTAGAATTCAGAACCTAAAAAGGTTAGTCAAGAATAGAAGAGGGCCAACTCTAAAAAATCTAATTATGAAACATACAAAAATATACATGTATTTATTAAACACAAATTAAAATAACAAATAACGGCCCATTCATACCTCATATACAAATATAAAAATACAAAGGCTGATGAAATGGACCTAACGCGTTTCGGCCTTCACAGGCCTTCCTCAGAGGTCTAATGCAAATAGAACATATTGGCTAATATGTAAAAGTATATACAATCAAACATATACAAAATATGAAATAATATTTCATATTTTGTATATGTTTGTATTTTTATATTTGTATATGAGGTATGAATGGGCCGTTATTTGTTATTTTAATTTGTGTTTAATAAATACATGTATATTTTTGTATGTTTCATAATTAGTGTCATCTTTCATCACCAGTTTCCCTCTGGCCTATTCACTATGTATTTACTAGGTTTTCATTATCAATACACTTACCAATTACATTTCTTTAATGCACATTACAGCAACCTAACATATAGAGAACAGACAATTACTCAAGGCAGGCAGCTGTTCACAGTTTATGTCTTCATCGTCTTAACTTCTGTCTCTTATCTCAGGGCAGGCATCACCAGGAAGTTGTTTATCTTATGCAGCTGCTGGTGTGACCTTGGGTCAGGCATAAGTTCTTTCAGAGCTGTTCTCTCAAGGGCAGTTCCCAAGAGAGTTCTCTCAGCCCCACCTACCTCACAGTGTGTCTGTTGTGGGGAGGGGAAGGGAAAGGGATTGTAAGCAACTCTGGGACTCCTTCGGGTAGTGAAGGGTGGGGTATAAATCCAGTCTCCTCTTCTTCTCTTCTTTTTGAGTACAGCACTAGATCTACTTGAAGCAGGTACGCACGTTCTTAACGTAACCTCTCCTAAATGATGTCAGCAGGATTTATGATGTTAGCAGTATTCAGGCAGAGTTCAGGACATACAACGGTTTTAAGTTTTAAGGCACACAAAATGGAGTCATTTTTGGCTCATTTCTCCATCAACTCGAAAACGTTTTCATGGGTTTTTGGTCGCAGAGGTAAGATTGCGAGCAGGGGAGGAGGTATGTTGCTCAGACACTGTCCCCAGTCTATTGCGGCTGACTATTAATCCAGCCCTGGAAGGGGAAAAGGCTAGACTGGCTCCCTTTCTCTCCCCGCCCAGGTAATTACTGCCCTATCTGCTTGCACTGCTATGAGGACAATGACTACGAGAGCAAGATGATGCAGTGTGCCAAGTGCGACCACTGGGTTCACGCCAAGTGCGAGGGCCTTTCAGGTTTGTTCCACGGCCAGAGCAAGATAGTCTCATTGCAGCTGTGCCACTAACCGTTATCCACCAGTGTGTGTCCTCGGGGCTGGGGTGCGGGAGGACTTCTACTTGGGAATGAAATTCTGCCTCCGTTAAGAGAGGACAGTGAATGGTTGGGTGCTCAGCAGCGGTCACATGCTCAACATACACGAGCTCGGAGACATTGTTCTCCTTGCACCAAGCCAGGGCTGCAGAACCTTTGGCTCTGGAGCCAACGGCGACTCAGTATGGAATCAAATGCGATTCTGTTTGGAAACCAAATGAAATAAGGTATATTGGAGGGGTAGGTGGGATGCTAGAAGAGCCAGGACACAAAGGCTGTGGCAGGCAAAGATCTTTATGGGATTTATATTGGGTATAATTTTGTGAATTTCACAGGAATTTGTGAATTCACAGGTATTTCTGAATTTCCTGCATTGTGCAGGGGGTTGGACTAGATGACCCTGGAGGTCCCTTCCAATTCTGTGATTCTATAGGGCCTCTCAGAGATGCTTTCCAGAAAGGGAAGCGATGGAGGAGAGCAGTTACCAGCGACCCAAGTGCAAGCCACGCACAGATTTATGGCAACGCGCTACAACTGTCGTGCAGGTTGCTGCTGTGTATAGTTACGATTTCTTGGAAGCCCTGGTGTGTGCCACTTCCTAATAAAGGACTCACACCAGCCAGTGTTTGGGCTGCAGATACCTGAAGGATTTATTAAGTTATTAGTAACGAGCTGTATATTTTCGATGCATTGATGTTTATACCAGCTCTTTATTGATCATGTGTTCCAAATGTTCGCACAGTTCGGCTCTTAAATTGTCCAAGGCCGCCTGTCAATGTGTCAGCCTGGTTCACTGACCCTGGTGTGCCACACAGTGAGCTTCAGGTCATCCCGTCCTGTCCCCTTTCTCCTCTCCAGACGAGGGCTATGAGATCTTGTCCAACCTACCCGAGAGAGTCGTAGTGTTTAGTCATGCCGGCCACATGACCACGGAAACGTCTTCGTACAGCGCTGGCTCTTCGGCTTTGAAACGGAGATGAGCACCGCAACCCTAGAATCAGATTCGACTGGCTTTCGAGCAGGAAACCTTTACCTTAACGAGCTGTAGGTTTCGAGGGAAACCTTTACCTTAACGAGCTGTATGTTTTCGATGCATTGATGTTTATACCGGCTCTTTATTGATCACGTGCTCCAAATGTTCGCACAGTTCGGCTCTTAAATTGTCCAAGGCCGCCTGTCAATGTGTCAGCCTGGTTCACTGACCCTGGTGTGCCACACAGTGAGCTTGAGGTCATCCCGTCCTGTCCCCTTTCTCCTCTCCAGACGAGGGCTATGAGATCTTGTCCAACCTACCCGAGAGCGTCTTCTACTCCTGCCGCCCCTGC